GTGTTATTGCTACTGTGATGGTAAATTTTCACTCGTCTAGGTAATTCAACTCAGTGCCCTCAATTCAAATTCCCCGCTTGATGAAAGCAAGTGGTCACATAACCGTCAATGGACAGGTCATTCGGCGGGTACAATCGATTCCGGGCGACTGCCACAATTCGTATGCTTATCGTTATAATCTAATAGTTTCGATCGCTCATCTTCATTAAAGTAAATTTCCTTAGACAAACTTCCTGTTGCAGTTCGTATTTTATTTAATAAATTTCATTTCCCCAAAATAAACAGGAGTATCCGCCAATGTAATCACCTCTGTTGAACAACTTTCGTCATCTTCGCATTTACTGAATGAATTGGTCAGAGAACAGCGATCAACGTTAGTGACTAGTCACTTAAATATCCGCACTTTTTGATTGTTCAGTTCAGTTTTGACGACCGTCAACCGTACACTTTCGTGTTGCTGTTATCACCGTCCATTCGGATGAAGTGATAGAAGAAAGATTGCAATGTTGAAAGCGGCGCAATGTGAAAATAGGGAATCGTTTTACACCAAGTTTGAGAAAGTGTACGAGCGACACTCAATGTCCTGAACCATCAAGTATGCTGATCCTGGATTCCCCGCAACAGAAGCCCGATGCGACTGGTATGGACAAGTCTCCTGGTCGTGCTTTTCATTTTCTCATGTCAGGTAAAAGTTTGACCACCCTTTGCTTGTCCCTGCCCACTGACTGCCTTGGCAATCTATTTGGTGGCATACCCTAACCAACGTAATCTTTGGAGGTCAACCACTTGTTCCAGTAGGCTACCACGATTACATAAAACGCTGCGCCCACCCTCGGCTTCGTTTGTCCGATTTCTCCACCAGATTCGTGCAATGCTGCGTAGACACCGTTGTTCGTTCACCGACATTTGCTCTCTATCCTGCTCCCGCTTTGCTTCACCCGCTGCCTTGCGTTTAGGTTCTTGTTAGAACTGAAGGCTTTAGACGAGAACCCTAATCGCTCTCCTGCTTAGTGGCTGGACATCATAGCAATACCCGTCCGTCAAACCCCAATGCATACACAATAAAAATTTCATACTTCATTGAACGTCGCGCAGGATAATCAGGACCGCGCTGCCCATTGCATCGAGCGGGGTGGGTATTGATAAGTGGTCTACTGCTCAGATATCCCAACCTTTGTTTAATTCTTTGTCTTCAATACTCAAACCTCTATTTTTCCCTTCTTCCGACCTGTAATAGTCCCTTAAGCAACTTGGATTTCGCTCGCCAAGAGTCGTTGCCAAAGAGCACTTTAAGTAATGTATCTCGAAACGAATTGCAGATTCTAAAGCCTCGTCAATTACTGAATCTGGGGGCCTTCAACGTGAGGACCCTGATGCAGGTCGGTCAACAAGCTTGCCCGGCGCGTACAATGGAATTTTTGGGGATCGATATTTGCTGCGTGTTGGAGACTCGGATCCAGGATCCTACTACTATAAGCCACTTGGGTGCGCCAGATTTGTCTTCAAGATATGTTCTTTCCACATCAGACAACGACGAAGCCCGCCCAGTTGGTCAGCGCGGGGTAGGTATTGTACTCAGCAACAGGGTGTAGCCCCCTCTTATCGATTGGATCCCCGTCAACAGTCGTTTATGTGCAGTGCGTCTCCAGGGTTCAATTAGCGTCCGGAAGGGAAGCAACATTGAAAGGTGTTTGTTCATCGTATCAGCATATGCACCGAACAATTGCAGTTCTGAAACCCAAAAGGACGCTTTCTAAGATGAACTCACCGATCTCATTCGGTTGAGCCAAAGCTCCGACACAGTTGTACTTGCAGGTGACTTCAACGCGCAGGTTGGAAAACAGCGCTTCGGAAGCTTGCCTAGGCGGTAGTTGTGCTCTGCCCAACCAACGCACATATAGTGGTGATCGACTTCTTCAGTTCTGCGCACACCATCATCTGTTCCTATGAAGCACCAACTTCCGACACAGCTCTCGATGGACGGCAATGTGGCGCTCCAGTTCCACTGTTACTCTAAGTTAAATCGACCACATAGCAGCAAGTTACCGCTGACGTGGCTCAGTGCAAAATTGCAGGTCCTATTAGACCGCCTGCGTTGGGTCTGATCAAGCATTATTTCTGATGTAGTTCACTCTCCGACTGACTGGTTGGCGACAAAACCAGCAAGCTTGGATAGCTCATTGACTATCTGTTCCAGCAGTTCATGCATTCCATGAGTCAGAGCTAGTGCGTAAGCTAAGTGCGCCTCAGCGTGGTGATGTAGACGAGCAGTGGAATCAGATTAGCGAACAATGCATTCCGCAGCGAATGTTGCTTGTGAGACTGAGCCTCAAGCCCAACGGAGGTATTGGATATCTGATGAGTCTGTAGCACTGATGGATCAAAAACGACGAACCCCGACCTGCCAGGATCAAA